ACTTTTGTCTGTAACTACTGCATATTTGATTCCATCCATAAATCTATTTTCTTCCCTATGAGTTCTAGTCTCAATAAGAATGCTAGTTCTTACTGTTCATATGTTATGATATGAATATACCACACCAATTCGTTATGTATGGATGATGAGATTCCATTGATACAGAGCCAATTCCAATAGATTTATTGGAGGGTCCCATTGGCGTGCATCCAGTAGGAATTGAACCTACGAATTCGCCAATTATGAGTTGGGCGCTTTAACCATTCAGCCATGGATGCTTAGCGGGGATCCTCGTACATGGTGAATAACCAAATTCCAATTGAAATGAAATCTTTAGGATAAATCAATGCAATTTAAATTTAGGAGGAATCAATGAAAGGACATCAATTCAAATCCTGGATTTTCGAATTGAGAGAGATCAAGAATTCTCACTATTTCTTAGATTCATGGACCCGGATCTTTCATTCACATTTTTTTCCATCAAGAACGTTTTATAAAACTCTTGGACTCCCGAATTTTGAGTATCCTATTTTCACGCAATTCACAGGGTTCAACAAGCAATCGATATTTCACGATCAAGGGTGTAATTTGTAGTAGTGGTCCTTATATATCGTATTAACAATCGAAAGAAAAAATCTCTATTTGATCTTCCTATACCTATGAATTCCATTGGACCCAGAAATGATACATTGGAAGAATCCTTTTTTTTTGTCTTCCAATATCAATAGGTTGATTGTTTCGCTCCTGTATCTTCCAAAAGGAAAAAAGATCTCTGAGAGCGGATCCGAAAGAGCCTATTTGAGAACAGTAAAAAGAGTTTTAAATGGCGCTCGTGAATCGTCCTTCTCATCTTTAAAAGCCAAATCATCGTCCGCATCTAATCAATCCCCAATCGTCTGGTATCCCTTTCTCCCTTTTCTCTTTCTGCAAGAAATCGTCCTCATCGAATTGTCCGCATGCGAATCCTTATCCTCAAAATAGCGTATTCGTGGTATTCTCTTCCCAACAGCTTATTCTATTCCGAATTCCTACTCAATGTAGTGCACTCGCTCGCCTTCGGGTGAGGGAAGAGTTCGTCGCTTCCTAACTTGCCGAAGAGAAGGTATTCATTAAAGCGTCGAAGGCATACCGAAAGAGTCGACGGTATGAAGTCTCCGGGTTAGAGTCACCAAGAAAACAAGCCGGGAAGGCATAGAGTCGACGCAGTCAAGCAGGAAAGACCGTAATCGACGGGAAAAGGCATAATCCAGAGTACAGGCAGAAGGCCAAGAGCCTAGTCGTGCAAAGATCCAAACAGCGTATTCTGATTCAGGTGCGAAAACAGCTTCTTCTCGACGCAGGAGATTCGTGAACAAGCCCATCTAAGAGCCTAGCAGTAGCAGCCTTTATTGTTATTGCGACAGAGAGAGCTTCCAACAAGGAAAGCGTGATCCCATCTCGTGCCCTGTAAGAAGGAACGTCATCAGTTCCAAAGCCTATTCGATGTCATCTTCCTTGTCCTCTTCTGATTCAACCTCCTATTCCTCCAACTATGGCAGCCAAGAGCGCTGCTTATTCCCCTTCATGTTTAGATGCTTCCTGCTCGATGCTTTGAATAGCCCTAGTTCCAGTTAGTTCATACTACCCGCTCTCGCTTACTTGCCTGCTGGCTAATGGCTTTCCTTCTCAGGATTTCTTTCCGTCTTCCTGATCAATCAAGCTTTCGACGAGTGACTCTTGGTTGCGGGGCCAGGGAAGGGGCCGACTATCTACTTAACCGCGAAAGGGAGAGGAAGAATGCGCGACTGACTATCGAAAATTGGAAGATAAAAGACATTCTCTTCCCTTCTTTCTTCACTCTCGTTCTAGAAGGCATTCCGTCAAGCAGCATGGGATGAAGACGATTATGTGCAAGACAATCCATTTTCGGCATAAAGAATGGAATGGCAAGACGGAAAGCTAGTCTTCTTACTGCTCCGTCGGTCCTTCAAACCCGGAAATCGTAGAAAAGAGTGAGCAGAGAAGTGATTGCTAATCCACTCTGCGCGCGGAAAGGCTGTTTATTACGAATCATGTGCAAATGCAATCAGGCATTCCATAAGAGCCCATTCTCTGATAAAGAACCTTGCTTGCCTTACTAGCTCTATTGTTATGGGCATGTCCCACTAGTGGATTCAGTCCCTTCCTTATAGCCTTGCTGTCCAATCTTTTCAAAAATCCTTTCTTTCTTCTGGGCATCAATCCCATGTGAACAAAAAGGCATTTGCTTTGTCCAATTCCTCCCTAACACCCTACTCTATTCCTCTTCCTGAGTACCGATACTGGCTTTCCCTTTTCTACTAGCTTGTACTAGAATGCTGGCTAAAAAAAGATTACTATAACTAACATTGGTGAAACAACTGCTTTGACTCAAGAAATCGATGATTACCTTTATGAGTGACCATCGACGATGCCAGGTTTCCGCCAATAGCCTTTATTTAGCCAGCTCGAAAGAAAGCATTCTACGTAGCGCCTTTAATACAGGTGAGTTATTTTTCCTTTTCTAGCGGGGGGCAGATGGGAGCATAAATCCACATAGAATGAATGGATCAAGGTGCGGTGCATGGAATTCTGCTCGCCTAAAGGCGTGTGTGTGCTTGTACGCCCATCGAGTATAGATAGACCAATGATCTCATCCGAGCCACCAGCGATACTTGAATGAGGAAGCATCGACTGAAGCGGCTGAACTCAGAACAGATAATATCGCAAGGAGTTCTTTGGAGACAGCCCATCGTGAGTGAAATGAAAAGAGAGTTCCCCCCAGCTGCTAGGGAGTTTGGGAATGTAACTAGAATCTATGCATTTTCTTTTCAGTCCTTCTTTCTGCCTTCCATTCTAAGGGATACGTTAGAGAATGGAGTCGGGGCAAGCAAGCCGGTTAGAGTTGAAGTGCTTCTGTCTTGGCAAAAGGTGGATATCCTTTATACTAGGGCTCTCAGTACTACCATAACCACTCTTCCTAACAGCGAGATCGTGTCCACCAGTAGGGACTCTCAAAAATAGCAATAAAAGTAGCAGCGTAACGACGGAGAGAGATCTTTTAACTCTTTCTATAATACGCGATATTACCAATAAACTAGATCAATGGCGGAGAAATGGTACTGGATAAATTCCCATACTATATAGCTTAGAATGGGCACTAGAACTCAACGGGGCCTCCCTTACCACTGCAACTCAAACCCCTGATTAAAAAGAATTTCTCTAGAACCACTGTTAAACATAAGGGTACGGTGAAACAATAATAGAATCTTCTCTTGCCCTTTTTTCCAAAAAGAATTCTGCTTTCTTATGATTATGAGATGTGGTTGGCTTAAAATATGCAGCTTACTTATAGCTTTTCGGCAATAGAAAACTTCTTTGGCTCATTTGATAGAGCTGCTGTCACTCTTACTAACCTTATTCCCCTTGGATTACCCTAAGACTGAAGCTAGACGGTTATTCCACTGTAATAACATGCGCTTACCTTGGCACTCAAACTCCATAGAAGGCAACCTCAGGTAAGGCATAAATCTGGGGAGTCCCTTATGTTCTCGGTCTACCTATGAAAAAAGATATATGATAGATAGATAAAATATAAAATAAACATCTTCCTCATTCCCCCTCCGGGAACTCGCTGTAACCAAGCGAAGGGAGGATTCTCGTTTATGAATAAATTGGCTTAGCTTATCAATGAAACTACTAGGGTTTAGCACTCACCACTGGCAACTGCCATTGAAAGTAGATAGCTAGAACCCCTGCTTTCGGCTTGCTTACTCCTACATTACCTTGAGAACTTAACTGGCTCGTAAAGATAAGAAATCCAAGACGATATAGGGCATTCTATTAGCACTGGCCTGGCAGGCACTAGACATCTTATCCACCGGTGGACTCATATATCTTTATTATCCCAAGACTGGGCATATGTCTTACCGGGCAATCGCACTATTGTGATAAAAAATGCTAGACCCGTACAAGCAATCCTACCTCCTACTACAAGTACAAGGGCACTATGAACTACTGCTTCCCTGATAACTCTCTCTGGTACTGGCTCGCTGGAAGAGAAATAGAACTCTTAGGCAAAGAAAGAGTCCAACTCCCACTGTATACTAAGATAAAGTGTTACCGTGGACAAAGAGACTGACTCCAATAAATGTGGAATCCCACCATTGGAAAGGACACTCTTACGGGAACTTACACTCAAACTGGATGGCTTGTATTGGCCCTTGCAGACACTCCTACTTATAAAGTAAAGGTTCTCCAACTCATTTGCTTTTACCCTTCCTTTCTTGATGGATATGCTTACTTGGCCTAAGGCCTGCAACTAACTCACAAGGATATTTACTGGGCTTGCTCCTTAGATATTCGATATTACTTATATATATTATCCTTATTTGATAACTTGTTTTTCTACTGGGCCTACTGACCTAACTCTTTTTTGCTTTCATTTTCTCACTCTCTTTCAGGAAAAGAAGAATCTAGAGTCAGCCTGGTGAGCTAATATTCCTGGGCGAATCTGGGTGTAGTGTAGGGAGAGTTTCTTTGCTCTATATTCCTTACTTTCCTGTTTTCCCGGTTCAAAACCCCTCTCCTTTCCAGTAGAACGGATGCATCTAAGCTGGAACTCTGCCACCCTCACCACTAAGACCTTGATTGCCGGATAAGTAGTCAGTCTATTTCCATTTCGGATTACCGTAGTCAGTGGTCATAGACCATAGAATAGATAGATAAAAAGTCTCCTACGGAAAAAGAAGGAGTTCACTCCGATACCCAACCGCCAAACCTTAGCCCAACTAAAGTCCTAGCCCACACCCAAAGTCAAGTAAAAAGAGCGGATCTTTCCGCGTATGTTGCAGCCTATGTTGATGCCTAGATCCGATGTTCTGCTCTCTTCCCCCGTATCCCAGAGCAAACTTCGAGCTAACAGAGCTAACGCCTCACTCCTCTACTAGCTATTCTATTTCTTTATTGTTCCCAGTGAAATGACATATGAGACGAACTAGCAGATTCATTCCGTGTCTTCTGTCACTGGCATTTCTCTTTCACTTCTTGAAGACAGAATCTTTCTGACATACCTGTTTGACTTGACTGGCTGGGAGAAGAGAACTACTCGACTGGCCCTATAGACTGAATTAAGGCCAGTTTCACGACGTATAAGGTGGCTTGTTTACAAGATATTCTTCTGTCATTTGTTAGGGAAAAGACTTCTTGAAACGTTTGAATTAGCAGCTTCCTGGCTTTCAGAACTAGTCGTTCATCTCTTTCCTGCCTTGCTAGCTCTTGGACTAGTCGTATTAATACCTGTCTTCTTGCCTTGCTGCTTGCCTTCCTGCTGCTTTTGGACTTGTAGCTAAGTCCTATAAATCCCTTTGCTCTCTCCTAGCAGCCTTGCCTTAACCGACTGTGCGGGTTGGTTGGCATACCTATCCCTTCCTGTCTTTCCTGTTTCTTACTTCCGAGTTGGCTTAGAATATCCTTCCACTGTGGAAGGACCACTTCTCTTGAACTCCGGCTCCGGGCTTTTCCGAATCCGAAATAAAGAGCTCGATGCTTCGGGTTACTCATTGCATTGCTGCCTCACTTCCTCTGTCTAGGCTCACGGAAAGTCTGACGTTCGCTGGGATGAATGCTAATGGGTGTAGTCCCTCTTCTTTCTCATTACAGGTATTACGTTCGTTGACTGCAAAAGGGGCGGAAAGGCAATCTCCCATTCAAAGAGCCTTTAGGAGTCATTCCTTGTCCTATTTTTGACTATTGATCATGTCTGCTCGATTCTCGAATCTTGAAGCGAAGAAAGAGGAGTTTCCAATTGACTAGACTCAACCGGAAAGTCTTGAACTAGATCGGCTAATAAGTTAAGTAAAGGAGTTTACTAGCTCAACAGAATCAGTAGCAGGAGAAGGATCAAGATCAGCTTTTCTGAATGGGAAGATGGCATATCCGGGATCGAAGGTAGAGGAGTTGAATAAGTAGTTAGAGAGGTTTCAAACTCTTTGACTAACCTTTCAAGGGGAGAACTAGCTTTCCGGTAGTCAAGTACCTGTCTTCAGTAATCCAACAATCTGAGAATGCTGGAGAAGAGTTTTCCGAAAGCAGGTAATTCGGTTTAGGAGTTCAGCTCCTTATTTTAGAAGAGAGGAATAGGGTGGAAACTCTTCCCGAAGCTCTATTGTGTAGTCCCCAATTAGCGGATGTTCCGGTAAAGTCAACGGATTCTCCAACTCAGCATTTAGTGAAGTAGCAGAAGCAGATAACTACTCGACCGAAAGATTTTGAACACAACACAATAAGAAACCAGAGTTTAGGATTCTTTTTTGAAAGCGAAGCTAAGATAACAAGGTTTGTAGTTGACCCAACCCAATAGGGGTTGAAAAGAGGGAATCAACCAAAGATTCATCAGAGGAAAGAAAGAGTTAAACTCCGAACTAAGAGACAGTAGCTGAAGCAGAATAGTTCCTTGTGTGTGCTGCCTTAGGAAATGGAATATAATAAGGGAAAGCAGTCAATCCGCTTACCGGAAAATCGGTTGTCGTTGTTCTAGAAGCCTCACTACCAGAGAAAGAAAGAAGAGAAGCATCCACCTAAAGACCAAGGGCCTGTTCGTTCATTCTAACTATGGGTCAGAACTAGAAGTTCATAGATAGGTCAGGGAAGTTTCCACTGCAATCTTAAGGGTTTATGACCTTTTTTCAAAAGAAAAGATTACCATACTCTCCAGCTACTCGATAAGTAAAAGAATTTTTCTTTCCTGCAACTAGAAGTCGATAATCTTTTACCACAACATCAGCGGCCTTCTTCTGTTGAGGTTTGGAAACTCCTATCGTCGAGTCCCTTTACGATATTAACTTATTATAGTTTCAACTCAGTCCTATCTCTAAGCGGCAACATCCGCTGCAACAAGTTACGAAAGCTTTCCTGCTATAAGAGAGCGGCCTGCCTCTCTTCCTTCCTTTAGTAAGTACTAGAGTAGTAGATGCGCTTAGTTACCAGTCACTATTCCTAAATAAAGATAAGGAACTTCTCCCCCCTTAGCTTAGTCATAGGTAGGTTGGCCCGGATTCCTTCCCTTCCATGCAGTGCCCCTTCCTTGAACCACCATGCCCTGCCGACGTTCGTCCCCTCCCTTCCCCCTGCCTGTTGATCGATCAAAGAAATATCCTTGCGCAGTCCCTTGTTGATCGAATGGCAATCCTTTGGACGACGCCGTTCTTGATCCTAATAAATATAAGATAATAAGTAAGTACTACGCGGGGGCATACGCGCGCGGAAGGACCAACTTATATCCCTAGCAATACGTTACTTATTCTTCACGTTACACCTTATGCTACACCTTTATTTAGTTATAGCGCTGACCCCACCCAAATCATAGCGCTGCTGACCCAATCAATAGTATCAATAGAAATACTCAGCGTAAAATGCCGCAGATGATTAAGTAAGGGATACTGCTGATGCAAATGCGACGGATGATCAAATAACTCTGAGGCATGCATCACCGCTGACGCTGAGTAGGAGGCATATAAAAAAAGGACGCAGTCATCGGGTACGAAGCAGGCAGATTCCACTGCTGAGGAGGATCGGGGACTTGAAACGACGAGGAAAGCGGGCGATCTCATAGTTGATTTCAACGTGGATGGTGCATAATCTCATATATATAATGTAATGCGGTGCAACATCCGCATCTATCTTGAATCCTAAAAAAAAAGTGGTCCTGCATTTGAACCTGAGCCGAGAAAACTGCTTCTCAACTCGTATTATTTCGGAGGTGGGTTCTTGACAACATATAATGCCGTTCATCCAACCCAGATCAACGAGAAATCTTGGGTCTATGCAGGGGTTGTTTTCTTAGCGATTGTCCCGCTTCATGGCAGTAATGAGAGATTCTTATATAATATGCAAGCGGAAAGAAAGCTTCAATCAAACACCTACCTTTTCGACCTGATTACACTATTATGTATGCGGAGGATACAGCCCAGCAAGATTCTTCAGTAAGAAATCCGGGCCGGATAGTGACCCCTACCCTGTCATCTGCAACGAAACGATCAATCTGCTACACACCCTCCAATGCCCAATACAATATAGAGATCCGTTTCGACCTTGTTCAATGCGTGGATTGGAAGGTTTTGAAATTTCGATATGGGTATCTCGTGTTCCGCATGAGGACCGCGGACTATATATATAGTATGAAGTTACAGTATTAAGGAAGTGATAAAGACTTCTCCATCAAACAAAGTGGCTCTTCATTCCTTACCAAGCCCCTGACTACGACTATCCGACCATGATCTACTAAGGTAAGGGTCGATAGGTAGGAAGGTGTGTTGCGTTGGGTTCTGTTAACCTTACCAATCTTCGGATATATATTAGGTATATCCCAGCTCCTCTTGTGTGTTGTGTTTCTTTCATGTTCTATCTTACTTATTTCGGTAACTAGTGGTACCTAGGCCAGGGATCGAGTGGTTCATAAGGGCCCAGACACGACACTTCCCCATATTGTGAAACCACTACTTACTTTAGCCCACTCATCACTTAAGGCGGCGTTAGTTAGGGGTGGGTACACTGATTCGTTATTGGATAGCAGTGAAGGTGCTGATGAGATGATGAACCAGATAGGGAAGAGGCCCCTTTTCATGTGCCCTAAAAGACTTTCCAAGAGCCATTAAAAAAAAGCCAAAAAAGAAGTAAAGGCAAAATAGAAACGCACTCTTTTAGACCCGAGGAATGGCAATCTCGTTTCGGCCTGGCCTTGTCTCTTCTCTCTGAAGGCTGTTCCTATTCATATTCAAATTGTTAGATAGCTTCTATCTTTCAGTTTATATCTTTGGTTCTCGAGGTTCTCAAGTTTCAATCCAGATGTAATGGATTGTATTTCACCCTCGCGATAATAGCTATATGGGTAAATTGCTTGACGATCTATCCAAAAGGAGCCGTGTCCATGCGGTTTTCCTCTCTCGCATAGAGCCAACCTTACTCTATGTGCTGTCCTGGGTGGGCTACCATCCTTTTCCATTCCACTACTTTACATGTTAGCTCGTCTCTGTCTTCGTCTTTGTGTCTGCCGATTCAATTGATGCTGCTCGTCCGTCAGGATGGCTCGACGTGGATCCCTATTCTTATTCCTAGTTCCACCTTCTTGACATAGTTTCCGTCTCTTGAATACCAACTTTCGCAGGGGTGGATTGAGCGGTGGCAACGTCCGAAAGGTATGATTTAGTAGTAGATGGCCCCTTCCCTTCCGTGTTTGAAACGGCTTAAGAGCTTGGTCGGCGAGAAGAAAAGAAAGAAGGTATGAAATCCTTAGCTCCACCACGTGTTAAGCATACGAGAATTGAGACTGCTACCAGCCCCGGGAATTCCATAGCTGTTAGCTCTGACCCCAAAACATCCAAGGTACCTTGAAATGACTAGGAGCTCGCATGAACCCATATCAACCCATCTTCAATCAAGAGAACCGGAACTAGCTGGAAGAGAAAAAGAAGTAGATTAGGATTTTAGCATTAGCTGGCGGGGAACTAAGAGAGAGTGCAGCAGGAAGGGAAGGAAATCTTCAACTTAAACTTCAACTCGCGTAAAGGGAGAAAGAAAAGAACTGGAAATGCATAGGATATACTCGATTAAATTATGAATGAAAATCGCAACTACTGGTACAATAGATACATACGGGTACTACTGGCCCACTATCGCTAGACGGAATGACACTCTTGTTATACGGAATCACACTAGCACTCTTAGCTCTTTAGCTATTACGCTTGGTAGTAAGGCGAGGAATGATAGCAAGAGTGCTTTACGAGAAAGTTTACCCTTTTTTTGACCTAGCCCTTCCTTGCTTTGCTCGTTTGACACCTTGACTGGCTAACTAAGAGACTAGTCCCCTTTCTGGCAGGAAAAGTAAGTAGGTGGGGTGTTGAAAAACTTATCCTTCAAGTGAAAAGAAAAAAGTGCCTGCAAAGGAAATAGGATAACCTTAGTCCAGGTGATAGTACACTCCATCTTTCTTTCCCATTTGAAAGATCCTGCGCTTGCCTAAGGGACAGAGACCGCTGGACTGGGATTAGGATAGGTTTACACAAGGCCTGACCTTAGCATTCCAATTAGATACCCCTTTAGATACTCTGCTACATCAACAAGAAAGAAGAAGATCCAAAAATGATGTCTCTTGCTGAAGTGTTTGGGAACATCAGTTAGACCAGACATTGAGCCTATTGAAAGCACAATTCAATTCCTGCTCCTAGACATTCAGATTAAGATAATAGTGAGAGCGATAGACAGAGAAGTATAGAATGCTATTGTTTCAGAATCCAACACTTGTAAACTCATATCTCCAGGGACGGAGGTACCTTAGATTATAAGCCCATACATAAGGACAGGGACTGAGCTTAGGACTGCAGGAAAGAGGATAGCCACTAGGCCAGCTACTAGAGACACACACACTAAAAAAGATATGGGGAAAGCATATTCTCTAGGAGAAAGAAAGACATCCATCTTGGCTGACAGGGCTGACCCTGACTCTGATGCTTGACTAGAAATTATACTTGCTTCACTTGAAAGTACAATTTTAACTTCAAGGCTTTAAAGGAAAGAGACTTATAGATTGGCTTGAAAACTCCCCAGAGATAAAACATCTTAATTAGAAGAAGAGGTCTTTCTTGATCCTGGAGAGGTAAAGATTGAGACAGGTTGTCAGAGTCATTTCTATTGCTGCCTAAGAGCCCTACCCCTACTTAAGATCTTGCTTGAAAGGCGTTGGTTGATTGACTTTGCCAGCTTCAAACCCTACTGTTCTAAGGATAAGGAAAGGAACTGAAAGGGGATGAAAATATAGCTCATATTCTTCTCTTCCTTAGACCCACCATCTATCTAGTTAGCCTCCTCGGTGAAAGAAAGGGAAAGAATTTTGAATATTAGCTCTTCCGGAGCACTCTCTTAGCTTAGCTATCTACTAGGGAATCTTATCTAAAGCCTACGATATTTGACTTTTCTCTTTTCCTTGAGATGCTTCCAGTGCGCTTCAGGGGTTCTCGAGTCCGGGAAAGGGGAAGGCAAGAAGGATCTTGGCCTATCATATTCAGAGGATAAAACAAAGGCGATTATCGAGATGCCGCCACCTCAAAGAGAGAAAGAAGGAAGAGGCTTTGACGGAAGGATAGAGTATTATAGCCGCTTCATCGCCCGTCTGACTCCAGCAAGCCGATTCAAATTTGAGTAAAAACTCGCCTGAAACGAGGAATGTCAAAAAGCCTTTGAGTTGATTAGGCCTGTTCTCGTTCTCTTCTTTCTTTTTCTTTCATACCGACAATACATTCTGCCCGACTTACTTAGAGACTTACCCATATATCTATAACGAGTAAGGGTGGCATCCTCCTATCTATTGACGAGAACGGCAGACTCCTATCCTATTCATTCTTTCCTCTCTTGAGCTTTTGCTCTTTCCTCTGGACCCTCTCTTTAGGAAGAATTTCTACGACTGCCCTACTTTATGAATATGAAGGCTTCTTCTATGTGATGATAGCCTCTGGGAGCGCCCTTTTATGCCAAGTAGGGCTCTCCCCTTTATTGAACAGGGTTTCTAGCCTATTCCTTTTCTTCTTCTTCTTAAAAAGGTCA